AAAAAAAAAAAAAAAAAAAAAAAAAAAAAAAAAAAAAAAAGCGCATTAATGCCACTATATTCTGGATGCTACCGAAAGCTTCTCAGACTGGAATGTTATCTGGCAGGAGAAGGAATTAAATATTCAGGGCTGAGGATACCCAATAAGCCGATATAGAGCTGGTTAAAACAAATTTGAATCTAACTAAATCATAAAATACAGAATACTCTGGGTAGATAGGCCAGCTCCATCTCTCGCTTTGGGTAAAAAGTAAATATTATCAAGATTAATTTCTCCCAAGAATACTTTTAGATCCCAGTGGAGCTACCAGTTGACTCTTTTTAAGGCCATTAATAAGATTCCTCAGCAGGGCTTGTGAGTTGCAAAAAAGGAAGTTAATAATACCACTACAAGAAATGCTTTATATTAACCAACAAAGAGGCAGGTTGTGTTTTCCCATAAAGTTACAAGCACAAAGTCAATATTATAAATGGATCTTTCCAAAAAAGATCTTCAATGCAGCTGCCATCAATGTTTCGACGTGCTTAAGTTTTCAGCAAAGGAGATGACTTGCGGTGCAATATTTAGATAAACTCTCACTAGTGAGAGATACACAAGGTGACCTCTACTTTGGGATAATGCAACTATGAGTACTGACAAATCTTTTTGTAGGCAAATTAACGATAAGGGTATTAACTGCATAAACTAATCATTTAAGTTCCATGCTCTGCTTCCGTCAGCTCACTAAAAAGTGTGATTTAAAGAGAAACAACAGTAATACTGCTAGATTAGGAATAGATTCAAGCAGATGTTTAGTTTAGATTGGAATGAGACACCATTACAGACAATAGCTGGCTTCCCACATTCCTTACTGTTTTCTGAGGATTCTGCATACAAAATCTATGTACACACTGAAAGTAATTGCTCAGATAAATCTCTGTACTGGATACAAAAACAAAGAAAAGAACCCCTAATGATGCATTGTGGGGTTCAGTGTTTATAATCTCAATTATTTCTCCAGGATTTGCTCAGAAAACCATAATTTTTAGTTGCAACTAACTACCAACCCTGCAAACTCATCTTGAGATCTTTGGGGATAAGGAAGGGAGTGGCAGAAAGAGAGACCCCCTCCCTAAAAATAAAAGCCCACCACACAAACTGTGTTCTGTGTCCCACACATTATCAGACTTTTGGCCAAAATTCACTTTTGTGCAAGCAGAAGTTCCATTCTCGGGTTTTAGTGACATATAGGCTTTGTGCTGGCTCTCCACCTAGAGGAGGATTTCATCCTGGTGAATAATTTAGTCGATGTGTGAGCCAGAATGGGAACCAGCTCACTCTCCTGTAACACCACAAAGCCAGGAAAGGAAAGGAAGTGTTGGGCCTGATTCTTAGTTACCCTGAACATGAAATCAGGAATAGCTTCACTGTAGTCAATGGAGTTACACTGGTGTCAAACCTGTGAGAATCTGACTTAAAGAAATCAGAACTGGAAGAAACGCTTCCTGTAGTGCGTCCGTGATGAGCATGGGACAGACACCTCAGCAGAGAAGCGCAGTCAGCATGACAGTCTCTGCCTTTTGATGTCATTGTCCTCAAAGTTTTAATTGTTTAAAATGGTAAATTTACAGTGGAAGTCAGTGACAAGTTGCTATTTAAGAGGCCTAATCCTGCACAGTTTACTCGCATAGAAAACTCTACAAGTCAATGAAAGTTTCGACTGAACAAGGAGCTCAGGCACACACTATAAAAAACAAGAGAAACTACCTGTTGCTGCAGGTCACTTGGTAATCATCCCACCCCCTCTGCCAAAGAGAGTCTGATGCCAGCTTGAAAGAGAAGTGAAATTTCTTGAAAAGGAAAGCTGAAATTGAGTCCTACAGTACCGCCCAGGTAATGCAATGGTGATACTACAGAGATTGTACATTACATGTATTTGCTAAAATTGAAGTGGACACCCAGGTCTGTGCACAGGGAAACGCCAAATTCATATTCAAACCACATGCACAACACTAAATACATCACCGTAATTTTAAGCTAAG